TTTTAATTTTGTCCATATATAATACGTACATTTTTTGTTTATTTGATGATATCGTGACGAGCTAGTCCATTTTTTTATTACTAGATATCCAAAGTTTTGTAGTGAAATATATAGATCCAAAAACGTTGTGGTAATTACTAGACTTAAAACTGTATAATCGTATATACGTGTTAAGACAAAATTCGTTTGAAATTAATGCGATTGACCCCAAATATGAACGTGAAATCAAAATCTGTCGATGCGGATATTTTGATATGAATATATTTAAAATATAGACGTGGATGATATGAATATAGATATGAAATATCTGGACTCGACCTAACATGGCCAAACACAAAAAGACAAGCATCGACGCTTACGAATATCTATTTAGTTTCTTTATTACGATTTGTTTTGTTCAACGTTCGAAGCATCCAATGAACTTTCTAAAAAACTATAATTGTAATTTGTAATTTGTTAACCAAGTGTTCTTGGTCATGTGGTTGCTACTTGTGGAGTTGCCCTGTTGGTCTAGACTAGGGATCGATTCCCCGCAAACGCGTAATCGTTAGATCTCCACTTGGCCACATGGATATGGGCCCTTGCTTTCGGCCCATTTGCATATCCGAAAAGAGAGTCTATCTGTGGGCTGCACCTCCCCAGAGAATTAGTCTGGGCCCCTCCATAAGTTTGGGAATCCCCTGAGTTATCAAAAAAAAAAATCATTAGCGTCACTCATCATCATCGCATATGAGAAACTATACGTAACTACAGTACAAAAACGAAATCCAGCGTTGTGGTCGCTCATTATCGTATCTGAGAAATAGCTAAAAACCAATCCAAACCAAAGTTGACAAATTGACATTAAAAAGCGTACATATATTTTTAAAAATGTTCAAAACTACATGATGTAGCTAAGAAAATTACATGAAGTGCGACAGCTCGAAATAAGATTTTTTCTGTTTCTTGTATCAATTCGTCTCAAAAATGCTTTTTCTCCTTTTGAGGTTTTGTAGTACTAGTACTCCAACATATTGCAAATAAATATTAATCTGATTATTTTTTCTGTTTTAAATTCATTATATTGCAGAAAAATCTAAAGCTTTACAGAGGAGATTCGATCGACTTTACATAAATAAATATCTAACAGCAGGAATTTTAAAACTTTTTAGAATGGATCCTAAATCATTTGAGGGAAGATTTTTCAAAAAATTTAGAAACCTTCCTAAGATATTGTATGGAAAAAAACAAAAACAAACAAAAAAGCCAAGAAAATAATATATTACGAAATTTCTCTTTTATTCTTTTTTTTTTTTTTTTTCCTTCTTGGCTATCTTCGATGAGTCGTACAAAATAAGATCACGTACGATAAATATGTTTTCATAATTAATGTATTTACCTCCTTTACGTTAAGTCGTTCACTGTCCATAAACTCTATGTGCCTTTTTCAATCAATGTATACGAAATTTTTCACATTATTATTGTGTTTTATTCGTCGACATATATATGACCAAGAGTCAAAACTCTCAAAAGTAAACGGTAAACAGTAAATAAGTATCGATATTCCTTTTGCGAAATAATAAACAATTATCTAACAACTTCAGAATTTTTTAAAAAATTTATAAACAGGAATAAATTAGAAACAGTAATAATAGTTGTTGATACAAAAAGGACGAAATAAATGAATTGAAAACAGAAAAATTGCATGTGATTGACGAGAAAGTATACACATATATAAAATATTAAAGAAGAAGTGATGTGGTTGTCACGTAACGCATCGAGACAAGAAAAAGTGGCGTGGCCCTCATTGTTTGTTTCTGCCTTTTTTTTCATTTGTCCCTCTCATTGCCGTACTCGTTGCTAATTACGTATCATCAAGATCTTACCTTCTTTGATTATCTTATTAAACTACTATTAACCTAATTTTAGTTTCAAATTTTTATTAGTTAATTCTCTGTATGGATCTGATTCGTTCCCCATCCACCACACGAAGGATTGATCCTATCCACGATGATCATTTTCTTTAAAGAAAATTAGCACCTAATTACGTATAAACATTGTTTTTTCTTAGAGATTGTGTAAGTTATCTGAATTCTGAATATTATTGTTGTTGGTATAATATTAAAATTGAGCTTGGTTTAAATTATGGTCGTGTGTGGTTCATTTTTTAGGAGGAATTTTAGTTTGAGAGGACTTATTGTTTGAATAGGAAGATTACGAAAGATCGGAAATATATTTAGATTTAACCAGTTCTTTGTTTTAATTAATTGGTTTATAGTTACGTTATAAAATTATCACATATATATGAGTTCTGTCATGTGTGTTATGATTGATGAATTGGTTTGTAATCTCTCAAGATCATAGTGACTGGTTAGTGTATGGATATGGCCAAATCGTGAAATATTCATTTCGAGTTTATGAAATCATAAATCTTTTTGCATCTTCATTTCATTTCAAACTTTTATGTTTTTAATCTCTTGTTGAAACATTCTTGGTGACCAAAATGATTTAAATCCGTGAGCTTTAAGGATTCACAATTCAAGATTGATTAGTGGATGCTGTTAACACAACAATTGTGAACGATTAGAATGTTCATCTACTAAGCTATCGACACTTATTAAACTTTAATGCTAGTTACGCTATGTTGGCTTCAATTTTTCGAATGAAGGTTGTATGAACACTTCTATTCATTAAGATACTCTCGTGAATATCTTAATAAAGAAATGATATTTTCAATAGATTTTAACTAAATTTAAATTTATTTAAAAATTAAATTAATAACGTAACTAAGTGTGATATGAGTTTGTTGTTAAGAGATGGTAGATTTTTAAACAAGATAGGAGATGCCCTAAGTTATTAGAATTCAGATTGTGATAATACATTTTTTTTAATTGTGCAATTATTAAATACCAATATATTTAAAAATAAATAATTAAATAACACAAAAATAGAACTGTTTAAGAGAATATATACTTTTAGGTTGTCTCTTTACCTATTCAAATTCATCAAAGTATATAATTTTTCCTTTTTTAATCTTTTCCATCACTTGTCAACGTCACATCACCTATCATCTATCATCATCTATCTCTCTTTTTCTCTCCTCTCGTCCCTTTTTTTCATCACTTTCATCATTCATGCATCTCTGCCCTCATTCTCTATTTTCTTCTATATTTCTCTAGTCAACCAAAAAATTTGCATTAAGGAAACCAAATTGAAAAGGATATTTAATATAAGGGTAATTTAGAAAAAAAAAAAAAATTTGGGGGCCAACACAGTAGGATGGGTTTCTAAACAGTTTTTAAGAAATTAATGCTATATATATATATATTATACTGGTTGCAAAGAAAATAATCATGTTTTTGACAAAAATATTAATCAAATTAAAATAATACTCCTTATGTTCTTAGAAAATTTATGTTCTAGCTTTTTGTTATTTGTTTCATAGAAATTAATTTTCTAGATTGTTTCTTTATTTTATTGATTTATATTAATAAATCTTAAATTTCAAGACGTAATGATTAAAAATAATTAACTTTTTTAAATTACTATTGGTTGATAATTATTTTTAAATATGTAATATTAAAATTAATGTTGAAATAATTAAACAATAATTGAATTCTTAATATGTGTGAAACTCCCAAAACATCAAACTATTAGGAACAGAGAGAATATTGATTAGGAAAAAAAAAGGATTAGCAATCCACATGTCACTTTCTCTCATTAGAAAATTTACATTAGAAAGAATGTTTAATCAGTTTAGAAAATTTACATAGATATATTTAGAAATTAGAATCATTTGTTTTTTTGTAACTATCTTAGTTTTAGAACTGCAAAGATAGAATAACCCAAGGAAAAAAAAAGTGGTTAGAAAGATTCAATTGTAAGAGTCACCAAAATAGAAAGTTTGATAATATATGCAATTGATCGACAGTTTCAATTCAAATATATAGCTATGTTATCTTTCTACAATATTATGGTAGTAAAATATGGGATGCTTCGAATCTTCTACTGTAAAACGTGGTTGTGTCCAAATGTATATTTGGGATACAATAAAATCAAAATAAGACAATTAAGCCCATTAATCATAATTAATGGTGGTTCCTAAATATCTATCTTCATAGTTCATATTCCATTAATCTACTCCTTGAAACCTGAAGAGCTTTAGTGACTAAATAATGGGCTCTGCCTCTATAGATGTAGAAGATATAATTGCAATTTACTTTTCGTCGTTCTTGTGAAGAAGCAAGCCTTGGACATCTCTGTTTAACAGCAGGATCATCTCATGATATTGAAAACGATTGATTATTCAAGAAGCACAGAAAAAGACAAATTCATATGAATTATTAACTCATGTCAAAATTATTTCAGATTAACAAAATCCTATGAATCATTGACACAAGTCAAAACTATATATGTTCTTATGTCAAGGAACGGAACATGTTCTGGACTCATTGAGTGGCTGTGAATAATGCTACGGTCCATGAAGGGATCAAGTGTGGACCAGTCTCTGCAATATATTGTTAGGTTGACTTGTTTTCACTAGAATCGTATGTTTTTCCAATCCATTAGTCCGTTTAACTTCAAACCACCACCAAATGAAACCTAATTTACACTTTCTTTTTTGTTATGTAATTGAGTTTGATCCATGATGGAAAACATTTGTTTAAGATTCTTTAATGTGATAATTCATCTCCAAATTGCTAGATATGCCTAGAAACATCATATGACTTTAAATGATTCGATAGATTAAATAAAAGACACTTACAAGACTCATAAACTCGACTAAATACACAACAACATCTAATCAAATCCTTTATTACACAAAAAATAACTTAAAAAAGGCTTTTTTTTTTTTGTTTTTGATAGAAACTAAAAATTTGGACTATAAGCCGATATAGCTGATAAGCCCAATAAGTATAATAAGCCCATAGTTTGCAAATTTGTCTAGTGAAGCCCATTTACGCAAAAATAATTACAATAATACCCTTAAGCTTCATCGTCCTCGTAGAATCTTGATAATTTAATTCATCCTCCATTGAAAATCCCTAGGGTTTTCTTCCATACACAATCAGACTCAACCAACCGGAGAAGAGATTCCGAGAGGATGATGACTTACGAAGGTAACGGAGATGGCGTCGCTATTTCCACCGAAAACCACAGCGAAAACTACATATCTCTAGAGAGCTCGCCTTTTCAGTCCCTCGGTGGCGAGGATGGTCATGAAGACTCCAAGTCTCGAGTATGTCACACTTGATTCCTTACATCGCTTTTAGGCTTCTGTTGTGTTAGATTAGTAATCGTAATTGTTCAAGATTGTTCTCTACTTTAGCTGTAATTTGGTACAATTCTCAGACTCTCCGTTTTGTCGAATTTTGTGTTTTTGATTTAAGGGATTCACTGGATTTAGAGCCTATCTTATCATGTTAAGTTCATCATATCTTCTTTTTAGAAATTTGGGGATATTATATACATTTTTTTAGTTTTGGTTGGACTTATAGAGAAGCCTTTTTGACATTTGTTTCCAGCAGGAATCTCATGATCTTGAAAAGGATTCTTCGAAAATCAGTGAGAAAGACAGAGACAAAGATCCTGAGAAGGATCGTGATAGGGAGAAGAGCAGAGACAGAGATAGGGAGAAAAGCAGAGATAGAGATAGGGAGAGAAGTAAGGATAGGGAACGAGACCGCCATCATAGAGATCGTCATAGGGACCGTAGCAGAGAACGTAGTGAGAAAAGAGAACGTGAGAGAGATGATTTGGATGATGATCATCATCGTCACAGAAGTCGTGACAGGTACTCATTACTGTGTTTGCAATTGTTTTTCAGGTTGTAGATTGTTTTATTTTTAAATTGATGATGTCATCATTTATCGACAGGAGGAGGTCTCGCGATCGAGACAGAGAGGTGAGACACAGGCGACGGTCACGCTCTCGGTCAAGGAGCCGCTCTGAACGCAGGTCAAGGTCTGAACATAGGCATAAGTCTGAACATAGATCACGTTCACGCTCACAGTCGCGATCAAGGTCAAAAAGGTATCTGGGTTCTCTAGTTTTTTTTTTTCTTATCTTTTACAACTAGTTCTTTCCGTGGCGACATTGCAATGTGTTATGATATTGATATCAAATCAAATAAATCCATTATTGTTTAGTGTTTGATGTCTTTGTTTTGTTGACACACAATATAATTATCATGGTCTTCTACTGGGATGAATGGTCTGATCTGGGTCATTGATGTTTATGTGTGCTTCATACGTTAGTTCAGGCATTATTTATCTGCAGTCGTTTCTACTTAACCTGACCATTTATATTTTACTCTTTCAGCAAGAGGAGAAGTGGATTTGATATGGCGCCTCCTGATATGTTAGCTGCTACTGCTGTTGCTGCGGCAGGTATTTGCTTCATCATCTACTCAACGTTATTATATTTCTTAACTGCTTGTTGTTTTTGGTTTTACGTAGTTTGGAAAGATCATTGTCAATTTCACGGTGTGACTTTGGTAAGCTGCATTTTTATTGTTTACTCGTGAACAGAGGACTTTAATGTCTTGCTTTCTTCATAGGATGTCTTGTTATTTTTGTCGACTGGTGAAGTGGTTCTGGAACTGAGAAATTTTTGTTTGTTTTTTTGGTGGTGTTTGTTTGTTTCTGTGTCTTGTCTTTTGTAGTAAGAAGGCTATGTTGGGTTAGTTGCCCCACTGTGCTGACAATGAGCCGACTTCTCTAGCTTTAATTGTACAAGGAGGAATCAGTGCAACGGTTGTCATGGGTATTTTTCATCTTCAATTGGCAACTATATGCCTGTTTTCGAGCCTTACAAATTTGACCACTCGAAACGAATATGACATTACATTTTTCATTTTAATATTCATAAGATGTTGGGATATTTTCTACTTGTGGGTTTTGTTCGTAGGAAGGTGTCATATGTAGCTTTGTATTTGTTGGTAGGTCTGCTCCTCCGGGAACATAATAATGTATCTAACAACATTTTATGACGCATACTACTTTACCTAGCAGGCCAGGTTCCTAGTGTGCCAACTACTGCTACTATTCCAGGGATGTTCCCAAACATGTTCCCAATGGTCCCTGGTCAGGTATAAAAACCCGTACTTTTTGCGTCTCTTTAGTTATTTATATGTTCCTCTTTCCTCTTGTTTTATGTGAACATGCTCATAACTTCTCATTCTTTCTTCTCACATAGCAACTGGGTGCACTTCCTGTACTGCCTGTTCAGGCAATGACTCAGCAGGTAAGATCTATCAATCTATCTTATTCTTAGGTTTTTCACCTTTTGTCGAGATTCCCTTCCTAAAATTTGTATTACGATCGTAGGCAACTAGGCATGCTCGGCGAGTCTATGTTGGTGGCCTTCCACCAACTGCAAATGAACAGGTTTGTTACTATTGTTTTGTTTAAGGGTTTGTGACTTTTTGTTTCTTATGGTCTATTTAAACCACATTTTAATATCCATTGTAAGACTACTGAGAATGGGTTTTCATGTTCTAGTCGGTGGCAACGTTCTTTAGCCAAGTGATGTCGGCCATTGGGGGAAACACTGCTGGGCCAGGTACTGAAAATTTCATTGTTTTGTCCAGGTTGATTAGCAATAAGTCTAGACGAAAACTCATCCGTTTTTGGAGTTTTTATTCATAGGTGATGCGGTGGTCAATGTTTATATAAACCACGAAAAGAAGTTCGCTTTTGTTGAGATGAGATCTGTTGAGGAGGCTAGTAACGCAATGGCATTAGACGGCATTATATTAGAGGTGATTTATTATCTCTTCTACAGTTTAGATGTTTGGTTTTTATTAGTTACAATCTGTTTTGTGAGTATTGAAATCATAGCTTTGATCATCTCTAGGGAGTTCCTGTAAAGGTGAGAAGGCCAACTGACTATAACCCGTCCCTTGCTGCAACTCTTGGTCCGAGTCAGCCTAACCCCAACCTCAACTTGGCGGCTGTTGGATTGTCTTCGGGGTCTACTGGTGGGCTTGAGGGTCCCGACCGCATTTTTGTGGGCGGGCTTCCCTATTACTTCACAGAGGTTCAAATCAGGGAGCTCTTGGAGTCTTTTGGGCCCCTAAGAGGTTTCAACTTGGTCAAAGACAGGGAAACTGGAAATTCGAAGGGATATGCATTCTGTGTTTACCAAGATCCGTCAGTAACTGATATTGCATGTGCCGCTCTAAACGGGATTAAGATGGGTGATAAGACACTTACAGTTAGGCGTGCAATCCAGGGTGTGATTCAACCTAAACCCGAGCAAGAAGAAGTCTTACTTCATGCCCAACAACAGATTGCTTTGCAGGTGAAGGATTCAGATTCACTTGATTGATTGTCTGTTTACTTTATAGTTCGTTTTATAAATCGTTTGACTTTCACACTATCTAGAAAATCACTAATTTAAATCTGTCTCAAACTTTTGTTGCAGAGGCTTATGTTACAACCAGGAGGCACTCCCACCAAGATTGTCTGTTTGACTCAAGTGGTTACAGCTGATGATCTTAGAGACGATGAAGAATATGCAGACATAATGGAGGACATGAGACAAGAAGGTGGAAAATTCGGTAAGCAATTCGATTTTGTATTGTATGCTCTGACATTATACCATTAGCACATACTCAGGCTTTTTACATGGTCCGATATGAACTTTGATAATTTAATGTTGTGTGCAGGTAACTTAGTGAATGTTGTGATTCCAAGGCCCAATCCAGATCATGATCCAACACCAGGAGTTGGGAAGGTTAGATTTCAGTTCTCGGATACAATGTCTACCAAATTCATATATAAATTGCATACTCTAAATGGTAACGTATTAATGCAGGTTTTCTTAGAGTATGCGGATGTGGATGGCTCATCAAAGGCCAGATCGGGGATGAACGGAAGAAAATTTGGAGGAAACCAAGTGGTGGCTGTGTATTACCCTGAAGACAAGTATTTGCAAGGCGACTACGAAGACTGAGCTTGATATCGTTCTCTTCTTAAGCTTTAGTCTGGACCTCTTAGCAACAAGTTTGGATCTTTTTGTTAATTTTATTTTTTACATGTTAAGGTCACTCTACTAAATGGAGATATTTGGTTCTCTAGAATTTGACTGCAATAGTAGTTTGTCCAGGCACAATCATGGTGTGTGTTGGTAATAGCTTTTTTTTCATTGAATACTAAAGTTTATATTATGGGAATTTTGCCAAATGTGCCACATTTTGGGAAAATTTTAGCAAATGTACCACATTTGAAATGGATTTAGCATCTATACCACATTTGGTGTTTGTTTGGCAATTCTTGGACGATTTTGCCCTTCTCTGTGTGTCAGGTATGTGTCAGGGGAAAGAGCTATAGTAGACGCCGGTTAGGAAACGGGGACAACTTTGTGTCAGAGAAGGACAACTTTGTCTGAAAGACAACTTTGTGTCAGAGAAGAAGGACAAAACATTGCATTAAATGCAGTTTACATTTACCATGGACAATAATTATGAAATAGAGTGAATGATGTCCCCCAAGAATAAGTCCAGATCTCTTGATTGTCCATCGCCAGATGATGTGGTTTTTCCAGCCAGAGATCTGGATTTACTCGAGGACAACTTCTCTTGATTGTCCATCGCCAGATGATGTGGTTTTACCAGCCAGAGATCTGAATTTACTCGGAGACAACTTGATCTTTATTTTATTCCGCCAGAGAGCCGAAGACGAAGATCTGGATTTACTCGGGGACAACTTTGTTTTACCAGCCAGAGGGAAAAAAAAGGTTCAATAATCCGGGTAAGTGAGGACAATATTGTTCGACTAATCTGTGGACCAAAATAGATGCCGAAAAATCTAAATAAAATTCAAAACCCTTAAACGAGAACAATTGGTAGACAAAATGTGGAAAATAAAACAAAATGATGAATCGGGGACAAGATCTAAACGCAACAAAGAATTCCCAATCGGGGACAAGATCTGGACAACAGTAGATAATGTTTATATGAAAAAAAGTTTTGTCGTAAATGAGAGAAAGAACTAGACAAAGAGAGAGATAAAGTGAAAGTGAAAGAAATAAATAAAGAAAATAAAAATGTAACAACAAATAAAGAAAGAGAAAATTGTAGTTACCAATGTAGAGAAATAAAGGAAGGCAGAAAAGTTAGAGGGGCACATCAACTACAGGTTTTGGTCTCTCATGTTGGAGGGTAAAATGGTCTTTACCAACGGCAATTGTGGTACAAGAGAAAAATGAATATATGAAGTGGTAGAACCAAAAATGTTTCGGTGAAATGTGGTATAACAGCTAATTTTCTCTTATATTATTGTCTTTTTAAAAGCTAAAATAACCACATTAGATTATACAACACGCATAGCTGAAAACGTTCGAAAGCTCACTAAATTATATAACTATTAAACTTTATATATAAATAAAGAAAGGAATAACAAATTAAACAAGTAGCACCAGTGGTCTAGTGGTAGAATAGTACCCTGCCACGGTACAGACCCGGGTTCGATTCCCGGCTGGTGCAATTGAGCTGTGATGAAATTGGCTTCAGCGAAGGATGGGTCCTTCGCATTTCTCCGGTTTATCCGGTGACACATGGCCTCGTAACTGAGCTCTTTCTTTTTCTTTTACCTCGCAAATGGTTTGTGGGCTAATAATGATCCCACATCGGATACTTAGCCACGCAAGACATCAGTAGTTCATAAATAGTTGATTATGCTAATAGTAACAGCTCGTGGGGCGAAAGGGTTTGCTTAACCAAGAGTCTCAGGTGGTCACAACCCTAACCCGCAGAAAACGGATAAGAGAAATATAAAAATTCATGATCCATCATAGTAAGTTCGACAATATGGTTGTGAATTTTATAACGACAATTACATGTTTTAGATTTCACAAGACTCGCATGTTTTATGAGTTATTAGTGGATCTGTATAAACACAACAACAATAGGTGATGAGTTTTTAAAGGAGTTTAGAAGTGTAAATTTAAAGTTGGCATACCAAACAATTCAAAGTTCTTCGGATTCAATTACTAAATGTCAAAATACTCGTCTAACTATAATTAAAAAAAAAACAAAAGGTCAACAAAGACCACCATTTACAAGAAGTTTAAGCTATGCGTGGTAACACTAATTTATAATATATTAAAATATATTACAATAATTCGAAGTTAAAAACAATTGTAAGAATTTTAAAATAATTAAAATTTGACAATGTAACAAGTAACAATATCACAACAATAATATATATTAATGATAATGTTTTCTTCATATTTGATAGAAAATGATTTAGATATATGAATACATAGTTAAATATGATACTTTTCACGATAACAATGTGTAGAATTTTTACAACCAGGAGGAAGATGGTATTGGTTGGCTGGAACTCTGACACAATTTTCGGGATTCTGACGGCAGTTTGGAATTCTGTCTTTTGTAATAACTCCATATTTCAAATATTTTCTTCCTTCTCCGAATCCGCTGAACAATGATAATATAATCATCATTGAAACAAAAGAAAGAACGGTAAGACTCATTTTGTGTGTAGCCATTGTTTAGAAACAAAAAACAAACAATGTTTTGAATCTTCTTGATCTTTTTCTTTGTTGTTATATTTTGCAGTTTGAGTTGGCGATTATTGGTTTGTGTTTCTTCGATTAATAACAAGAGAGATGATTCTAAATACAGAAGGCCAGTGCATAATGTGTATGCATAAGGAATTTAGTGGCTATTATATTTCAATTTTGAATCATTAGCAGGAAATGTATGTTTTTTTCATTTTCTTTTTGGTATGAAATCTCTAGAGATAATTTTTTTCGTTTTTCTTTTTGGTATGAAATCTCTAGAGATAAGTTACCTAATACATGTCTTGGAATGAAACATTCCCTGAGATCTAATGGATGAGATTAAGGATAGGTTTAGTTACGATTATCTATAGCAGCAATAATATGTGGGAAAACTAGCTTCATGGACACTCATCTTCAACAGAACACAACATGAGTTTCTCAAATCCTCTTTCTCTATCTCCAATGGAATCACACACTACTGTACCAAGTAACCACGAGGCCGAGACAGAGCCAACAGAGTTCGAGAAGAATCAGAAACGGTACAAAGACCTAATCGCTACCTTTCCTCACACGAAAGGCTGGAGACCGAAAGGTCCGTTGATAGAGTACCATGGTTGCTGGTTCGTACAGCCGCTCTTAGAAGGTTGCCTTCACGCGCAAGAGTTCTTCCAAGCAAGACCCATTGACTTCCTCATTTGTAGCTCCGCAAAGACAGGTACCACTTGGCTCAAGGCTCTAACTTTCGCCATCGTCAATCGAACTTGCTTAGACAATTCCTCAAACCCTCTCCTAAAACGTAACCCTCATGAGCTTGTTCCTTTCATTGAGAACGAATTTGCTTTCTTCCCTCAAGTTGATGTTATCAAAGACAAAGGAAACACTCTGTTCTCTACTCATATCCCGTACGGGTTATTACCGAAATCTATTGCGAACTCCGGTTGTAAGATGGTTTACATTTGGAGAGACCCGAAGGACACTTTCATCTCCATGTGGACTTTCTTCCAAAAGCAAAGGTCAGACTTTGGCCCTCTCAATAGTCTTGAAGAGTCTTTTGATATGTTTTGTCGAGGTACTTCTGTGTACGGTCCTTATCTAGATCATGTCTTGGGGTATTGGAAAGCTTACCAAGAGAATCCAAATCAGATATTGTTCCTCAAGTACGAGACAATGAGAGCTGATCCTTTACCGCATGTGAAGAGATTGGCTCAGTTTATGGGTTACGGATTCACAGCTGAGGAAGAGAAGAAAGGTGTTGTTGAGAAAGTTGTGAATCTTTGCAGTTTCGAGACGTTAAAGAATCTTGAAGTGAACGAAGGAGAGAAAATCAGAGAGGACATTGCTTCGGTTCATTGGCCGAATAGCGCGTATTTCAGGAAGGGAATGGTTGGAGATTGGCACAACTACCTGACTCCGGAGATGGCAGCTCGAATTGATGGACTGATGCATGAGAAATTTAAGGGCTCTGGTTTGCTTGAACATGATATAGATGACTGATCATTATATGCTTGTTTTTCTAAGTTTGATTCTATGTGTGTTAAGTTATATATTGGCAAGAATAAATCTTGTTTCTGTTTTGTCTTAATGTACTGTTTTTATAAACAAAAGAATTGGTTTTGTAGCCATTCATCTTTGAACTTGGAACTAAAATTTTAAAATGTAAATATACATTTTATATAAATGTTATAAGAAAACCATAAATTCAAATATTTAACACGTTTTAAAATCTGAAAAACCTAGATATAATTGACAACTGAAAATAATTCCTGAAAAGCCTCAAGAAATAATTGACTTGTTCTGTTAACAAAATCGACAACAAACCTTTTCTTTTGTTATTCAATTAAATGTATTTCAGTCTCAATCAAACTAAATAAAGTTTTGGTTGTATTAATTAGTAGCTTTTTTCCAAACCAAAACACCAAAAAAATCCAAAAAATATGCACCGGTAGATTAAATAGTAGCCTAAACAGGACATGATGATAAAGCAAGTAGTTGGTCAAATCAAAGGATCAATGTTGAAATCAGTAAAAACAATCATCGATGTGTAGATTATCCTCCAAGTTCTTTAACAAACTTGCAGAAGCAGAAGTTTCACCTTCGAATTTGGTAATTTGATTTGTGTCTTCGTTGCGAAGCTGAAGAACCTCCTCCTCCTGATAATTCACTAAACTTCCATCTCTTTGATTGCTCTTCACGGCATCATCTAATCGTAACCTCACATTGTTCAACATCCTCGAAACCGCGTCGATCGCCTCTTTCAACTCGTCAACGTTCTCCAATCTGTCAAAGGCTTGGTCTTCCCACCAAAACCCTACCCCTGATCTGTTCTCTTGGTCTGTCGGAAGAGGAGGCTGATTGTGAAGGAGAGAGGAGACAACGTGATCGACAGAGGAATGACCGAAAGAGTAGAAAGAAGCATGAGAGTTGGAAGAAAGAGGAGTTAATAAGATTGCGATTTGAGTTCCTGGAGAGAGGAGACAGAGCTCTGAAGCTTTGCGGAAGAGACCGTTTCTGCGTTTTGTAAAAGCAACTGATCTCATGTTCTTGTTTTCGATAGGCTTAATCTCTATCTTTCGTTTTGTGCCTCCCATATTGAAACTTCAAAGAAAGAAAGCCAAATTACACAGACAGAGATTGTTTGCTCAACTTGAAGGAAAGCTAATTTTACACAGAAAGACAGAGATTGTTTTCATCGTCCCTCTCTTTATATATACTACTATACTCTCTTCCCATCTCTCAACGTTTTACATTTTTTTGTGTGTTTCCATTATTGATCTTATACTCTATTCAGAAAATTTCCATAATGGGTTGTTTCCTAAGATTACCATTTTTTTTTTTTTTTTTTAAATTCCTACAGACTAATTTTAAACGTAAACCCTAACTGGTACCTAAAATTAAATTTTTAATCCCCGTTCTAAGTGAGGATGTTTGCATTCTCCCATCTGCCAAAACCCTAACCTTAGAGGGTGTTTCTTGGTATCGTCTCTTTTGTCCTCTGTTATGTCGAGTGGCTGCCTACAATGCGAGAAGCCGAGAACGGTCAAAAGACATTTACGGATCGTGGAATGAGAGAAGATAAAACTTAGGGGTTTGCAATATCAATCAACTTAACTAAACGGAAAATTTGTCACGTGATCTTAAAAGGTTGATTTAAATTGCATAAGTATTAGAGTATATAAAGAGTTGCAGAATATGACATATTTAACATTAGCTCATGAGACATGGTTTATGTATAAAGGTTTTTCTTAACCTAACCCTATATTATTTCCCGGTCCTTATTCTCTCTGGCCAAGGGACTATATATAGGCAAATATATAGCTTGAATCACTATTTTGTAACTATAGATTGTTTTTTAGTTTTTTTTTGGGTAACTTTAAAGCTTATGAACCGTGTTACTTTTTGTTCTTCACTGCCTTTTTGTGGGACTGACTCGCAGTCCAGTCGGGATCATCATCGTCTGCTACATTCGGGCAAATGTTCTCGTCTCTTCTCCTCTTCCCTGAACCGGGACCGGTTTTGTAGTGGTCGTTGATGGTTGAATATATGGTTTCCAATAAACGATCTCCGTATTTGCTCACCTTGGCTCTGTTTAGAGTTTACAAGACCAAAACCCCCCTGAGTTTTCTTCATACCTTTGGTTAGACAAAGAGAATAGAGTTCAAAAAGCTTCAAGATACTTACTTTCCTAGACCATTGATATCAAGGAGTTCCTCTTTGGTTCTGGGAAGTCGTTTACTTATCTGCTCAAGCGTCGCTTTGCTACAAACACAGGGATTTTTTTATTACTTATGATCTGAGAAGAAATGTCATTAAAATGGATCATGAACTTACCCGAATATATGATATGCCATGACTCCATCTGAGGATTCTTTGACAATATCAGAACGAAGCTTTTTCAAGGCTGTCAACAAAATGTGGGGGAGATTCTAGCCCGACATTGAGACAAATGAAGCAGCCTTTAGCAATTTAGAGTGCTGGTTTAATCATTGAGCAAGAAAAGGAAACAAGGATACAAGAAGATATACCGAATCTTGTGGGGCAGCTTTTGCCATTGGAAGAGTAGTTTGCTTTAGTGGAACTTTTGCTGTGGATTTGCTCGGCTTTGACGCTTTTATGGTCGAAGGAAACCTGTAATAGATATGTAAGTCTCAGCTAGAACTAACCTTTATCAAAACGAATCAACATATAACCAAATCTATGAGCCCTCTCAAGAATATAGAAAGCAATAACATTGCAGTAAGAACAGATAGATTTCAAAACATTTCCCAACGTTTGAGTTACTAAGGACATCAATTTGGTTGTAAGTAGTTTGTGAACATTAAAGAAAGATATATCTTGAGTGTAAAGTCAAACCTCATCGTTATACTCTGGCCTCCAGATAAGAGCGAGGCGGCCTTTGATCTATTCACCTATACAAAATGATAGATAAATGGGTGTTACCTGTATACACATATACATTTGTACACAAACACATTCATTGTTAAGCATAATTTAACCAGAGAGAAAAGCGCAAAAAGCAATATGTTACCAGAAACAAACCTCCAGCAACAATGATACATATCCACAAAGATCTCTTTTACAACATCAAACATAGTAAAAACCGAAATAAGAATTATTTGTACCTTCAGCAAAGACGATACAGATCCATACAGATCACTTTTTCTAACACCCTCTGCGAGAATATCCTCTGTCACAAGATAGTGCAAAATACGAGAGGCTTCACTTTTAGTTAAATGCTTTCCTGCTCCGTGGAGGTGCAAAGTCTCTTGTCTGTTTCTCTTGACCTAACCAAAAGCCAATTACTTGCAAGTGAGTGACACTGATAGGATTCATGGGCTTGAAGATCCACCAGCGAAATAAAGTAAACATAATTTATGAGACATAAATGGTTATCAGTTTCTGGAAATAGAATCAAAATAAATGTTAGTAGTGCATACCGACTGGTTTAAGGATCCCCTGTAGATTTCTACAATATGAGCTGACGAAAACCTTTCTCCTGTTAGCTTAACCAGTTCCACCTATCCAGCCACAAAAGATTGAGGTACGTCAGTACGTCACTGGTACAACATCCAGCAGGTAAAGTACATGATGAACTTCAGATGAATCCTATACCAGTTGCCTAGCAATCACAGTTACATCTTTGTCAATCAAAATTTTGCTGCTGGAACAATTATCACATGTTTTTTTGCAGTTTGTTGAATCAAATTTTTCTCCCAAATGAACTAGCTGTAAGAAACGTCGACAATCCACCTCATTTTCACAGTAACTAACCTGAAGCAGCAAAATTTGGAAATATATATCAGCAAGTAGAGTTAGAACTTTTAAGGCAAACACAGGGAATCTTGCCAATAGATACCATGCGGAGAAGGTTTTCCGTGTTCGTTTCGAGCATCCTCCCTGAACTTGCTTTACAATTATATCCCATTTTCATCTGGCCTTGGCCAAGTCCTCCTTGGCTAATCATATGCTTCACTCGAATCTGATAAAATGTATTTTGTAACCACAAACATGACCAAGAGTGTAGGTATTACCCCAGAGTAGTAACTTGATAGTGTCAGATTTATGCAACTTACATAATCAGTGTAACTGTAATACAAAACACATGATGACCTCTGGCCGTCTCTACCAGCACGACCACATTCCTTGCATGAGAACAAAATTAGCCTATGTGAATTTCTAGCTATTATCAGGTTCTACTCGAATGATGTAAAATCAGTTTACTAGGATATTCATAATTCAGTGTTCAGTAAAACACCTGATGATAGCCTTCTATGGACTTTGGTAGAGAATGATGAATTACAAAACGAACATCAGGCTTATTGATTCCTGAAATAGCAACTTTAGCAGGCAGAAAACTTCAATCAATCAAAGTGGATAACAGAGACCATTCATTACCCATTCCAAATGCCACTGTAGCACATATTATATTGATTTCATCCTTGCTCCATTGTTTCTGTACAAAGGCACGTTTACCAGGATCCATACTGCCATGGTAGAAGGCCGCTTTATGGCCAAACGCCTGAAATAGGTACATTCACAATATGTAAAAACCTCCTTATTAAATAGATAGGAGAAAGGCAAACAAACGACCAACCCGCAACATTTCCGTGACTTTTTCGCAGTCCATTCTTGAAAGACAATAAATGATGCCACATTCATCAAAATGGTTTTCCCGGATAAACTTGTCAATATCTTCCAGACACTTATTTGTCTTGGGAACAACAGAATACCTGCAAATTTTTTTAGTAAGCAACATTCTGAATGCAGAATTCGTTTAAGCTATTTTCAGTATATTACCATAGATTAGGGCGATTAAAACTTTGCCGGAAAACAACACAGTTTACCAGCCCAAGAGCTTGTACAACATCTTCCTTTACGCTGGTTGTTGCAGTAGCTGTCAAAGCTAACATGGGAATGTTAGGAAACTTCTGCTTCAGAACACCAAGACCCTGCATATTGCAGCATTGTTTTAAGAGATCAAAAAGGAAGGTTATGTTTCTTAAAAACAGAAATGTATAAGCAATCTCTGTTTTAAGCCTTAAGGAGGCTTAACCTGGTAGTCTGGTCGAAAGTCATGCCCCCACTGACTCACACAATGAGCTTCATCAATAACAAATCGAGCAAGCAAACTACGGGAGTTTAAGATTTCGAGGTGCCTTATAAGGGATTCACTTCTGTAGTCAAGAAAGAGAAGCTTCTCAGCTTGATGTTACTGGTACTATTTTTCACGATAGGAAAGACTTGCAATACTTACATTCCTAGAACTATAAGATGTAAGACTTTGGTTCAATTCTATTGAGAAACTATTGCAAGTATCCAATGCAATAATAAATTTCGACACCAGCTAGTATAGTTTAACCCAGAAAAATCTAGTAGCAGGGGAGAATCTGATGGGAGTTGGCCCAAATCAAGCCTACAAAGACTCTTGGACAATAGTCACCAGTCACCACAAAAGATAGCTTAAGGGTATGAATGTTCTTATGCCTTATAAGACTTTAATTTGTTCCACTCCTATCCGATGGAGATTTTTTGAATACCCACATTCTCTTCAGAATCAACAACTAAATAAAATAATGACTCACTTTGCCACTTTTTCTGGTGTTACATACAGTAACTTGTATTTAGAATTCTCAGAGCTCAGCTCCTGAAGTATCTCTAGTTGTTCAGCCCACTCCATTCCGGCACTTAAGGAAGCAGCAGATATATTGGTCTATAGCCATGATTCAGAAGCCAAAGTGTTAATCGGGACAAATTTTCTGAGTACAACATAGAAATGAAACTGAAGACAGAAACAACATTCTGGGGTTGCTGAAGTTCTCACCTGCAATAAGTTCATTATCTGGTCTTGAATGAGTGAAACAAGTGGAGAAATGACTAATGTTATTCCTGCACAGAGTAGAGCAGGGAGCTGCAGAGAAAAAGATGTTATGAAGACGTTTTTGATGTCCTAGACGCAGAGCAATTCTTCTGACACTGAAGTATAACCTCCACCAGGACAGAATACTAGCTTATACTTTCACCCTAGAACACAACTTGAAACTGTCATCTCTTTTTAACTGGATATAAGCAAAAATCTGTGTATAGAATAAAAGCCAGAAATAGCTTTTCAAATAAAATTACATTTCAACGTAACAGTTAAGATGTCGTTACCTGATATGTCAAGCTTTTCCCCCCTCCGGTTGGCATCAAAACAAAAACATCACAACCACTCATTGTAGCATTAATGATCTCTCTTTGGTTTGGTCGAAATGAGTGGTTTCCAAACACTATTTTGTTATAGACCTAATCATTGCAATGGAGCACATGAGTACACAGGAGGGATGTAAATAATAGAACAGCGGAAGACAGATAACCAATCACCTCCAGATTTTTCGTCCAAGGAAAATCACGACTGGCCCACTTTTTGTCATTTGAACTCTCGGTATCAGTGACATCTATAACCTCGGAAACAGATTGTTCCCTCTCTACAGAACCAGATGAAATATCATACCTCTCTTTAGAAACTAAATAGTCTCTTGGCATATTCCAGTTATCAGTTACATATCTGCCTTCCGTTGCTGGGCATAAACCACCACATGATTTGTCAGGAGAATCTGTCTGCGTATAAACCACCACATGATTTGTTGTTTGAGGTGTTTCATACTGAATATTATGAGAAGGTGTAGATACCAAACACTCAGATTTTTTCCTTTCTTTATTTTGGATAAGGATCTCGAGCTGCTGGATTTGCTTTTTCAACAGTAACCTAGCAAGTACCAACGATACAAGTGTCAACAGCTTAGAAACTACGTCAGAACTCAAAGTATGCTCTCAGTTGTGATGCAATTAACGAGATAAAAATAAAAAAGCAGACATGTTATCAGATGTAATGTATAATTTCTTCTTGCTGTATAATTTCCCAACAACTTTTCTATGTAATGTATCACAGCCTATTGAAGAAGCTAAATCATTTTCCAAATAGGACAAAGCAAAGAAAAAGGGAATATAATTTGAAGAGTGATGGGAGTGCGGACCTCTTTTGACGAAGCTGTTCAACATGATCGGGGCCCAGGTCATAAGTATTGTCGAGGAATTCATTTGATATTGCAAGCAGCGTATCCTTCATTTGTTCCACATGGGTAGAAGCTTCAGGACAAAGCCCTAGCTGCGACAATACCACAGCAAAAAAAATGAGAAACCAATTGGTTTATGAAATTACTATGGAAAATATGAGAGAATTGGTAGCATACCTTTATTCCATGACTACAGTTGGAACATAATTCAGGAAACAAACCTTGCTCTTCTTCTCTTCTGGAAGCAAATGTATCCACAAACTTAGATACTGATGGTTGCTTGGGACACCTTGAAGGGCAGTGGTCCATCACAATCTGATCTACCTCAATAATCTGCGCTCCAAAGTTAGCACATGTTGGAGTTAATCTATTCCGTTATTCGGCACAAGTAATTACGAAAAGATTTCATTTTAGTTCACTGAAAAATGGTCCAAACTCCAAAGCTAGCTGTAAAGTGTATCCCACAAACTTTTTCATAAAATATGTTACATTTTACTCCGCGAGATACTACAAATCCGAATTGAGAAAAAGTTTCTTGTTCTCATGGAAAAAGTACTTATGATTTTAAAAAATTTCCCTAGTTGTATCAAGAATATTACCTCCATTATGTCATCATAATCAATCTCACCAAGACTAGCTTCCCTAGGCTCCACCAGTCTGACTAGGTGTGCGGAATTTTTGATTGGTGGCATCTCCATACCATTTGTATATTTACAACCCGTTACTGAATCTCTAACCTCATCATTGACCCGTGGAACCTTGCCAATAGTTATGTTATTATCACCTACGGAAGAGGATGAGAAACTGTCAAATGATTTTGCAGTGCCTCTTAAACTCCTTTGACTATGCTCTGGATGATTGTGTGCGTAGAAAGATCCATCAGCACTGGATGTAACTTTAACAGTGGATCTTTTCGTAGATGATGAACGATCAGTGCTGCCATCATCAATTGCAGGAGTAATGCCAGGTCTCAGGTAAGTATTATTTATTGAGAGATTTATAAGAGTACACCACGCCTGAAAACATTGAATAGCAACTCAAGTTATATATGTGTACAATGATTGAAGAAAGGCATCTCTGCCAGGGGAAGATCAATCCCGGAAAAACCAGAATTCAATTGCAACGGTGACCTAAAATGTCTACTCAGAGACAGGAAATGGAAGAAAGTACAACACTATGGACAAAAAAATCCTCCACAACAAACATGCTGAAAGGATTGGATTAAGTCAAAATTCAATTAAAATCAAAGTTTTTCCTTCAACTATATTACCTTTTCAATTTCTGGTCGTGCCAAAGTTTGCACAGTTACAGGAGCGATGTTTTCAATAGACCTAGACATAGAGAGAAACAAGTTTTTCAGATAGCCGTAAACCACTTCAGCTAAAAGACTGATACCTGAAGACAACTGAGGAAACCTCACAAGAGTTTCTATCACTGAGTTATTACTAGAAAAATCAAAGGATGATATTATGAACAACTAGCTCTCTTTTAACTGGAGGTGTTAGAAGTAACTGAAGAATGAATCCATACATTGGACTAGGGGATTTTCACTCATAAAGAAGTAGGCTTATTCTAGTTCAAGATCACCTATATCCAGAATCAGAACAAGCAATGACACAAGTTCAAACGATGCTGGAAAAGCTAGATGTTACAGCGTGGTGAAAACACTATCTATGAAGTCAGCGGAAATAGTTATAAGTAATTTTCACTAGTAACCAAACTGGATACAAAAACGCAAGAAAAACATTAAAAGACAGAAAGAGCTGATTGTTCCTCAAAAGAACATAATGCATTACCTTGCACCCATTTCTCTATCTCTTGCCAGCTTTTGACTTTCTAGAGAGTAAAGGAAATTGGAGCCCATAAACTTATTCAAGGATGGTATACACTCAAAAGCCTTGGCATGTTTCGACCAATTTGTTTGAAGAAAGTGACCTCTGGATTTATTGACTTCAGGGAGATGACTCCCACTGCATTTAAACAATCAGGAAGATTAGAACAAAAGATCCGTGAAAAGTTATTTATAAAACAAAAATGGACAGGGATAAGATCAATTTTGCCTCATTTTAATCATAGATTTACATGCCAAAGAGCTTCCAGCAATTTGATCTCCTCTTGTCACCACCATTTACTGTACAAAAACCGAAGAAGTGGCATTGTTATTAGATGAATCTGATGGAAATTGTAACAAAAACTGCAGAAATTGCATACTATCACCAACTGGAAGATACCGAATTTGAGCTGTGATCTATTATCGCTATGAAAACTACAATGCTGCTCCACAACGAATTTGACGATTAATGTCATAATCTGTGCATAGGAAAACGAAGAACCAACCAAATCCAGAAGCTAATCAACTAGGAGATGAAGCGATCTACTATGACTACCGAAAATTCCTCTTTACACACACAACACCGATCAAAACACTCAACAATTAACATCGGTGAGAGAAAAAAGCGAGCAAAAAACCCTAGAAATGACTGGGAAACGGGAAGATCGAGATTACATTTTCAAATCGATGAAACTCTTTTGCTTCTGCGGCGGAATGGTGAAAATCCGGCGGCGAAACTTTTCCGGTAAGATCTCGAGGAGAGAGAGAAGAAAGAGCGCGTCTCCAGTTACAGCATTCTGCGATTTCCGTATGGCGGGATAGTTAAAAAGGTTCACTCTCCTCTCTCAAACACAGACATCAAAAACAAATATATTTTGAATTTTAAAGAAATTAATTTCATATATCCGTTTTAAATCCATATTTTTTTAAACAACAACGATAAATTTGAAAATTTATAACATGACAAAATACTCAAAATAGTATTACACGAGATTTCCATTTCACAAAAAAAATGCTGTAATTTTTTTAATTTGAGCTCTGTTGTATATGAAAATTAATTAGCAAAAAAAAAACAATGGCCTGATTTCTTTTCTTAATTTATTATTGTTTATGTAAGCCTTATTTATTAAACAAAATATTCGGATTTTAGATTTCAGATTTTTTTGGTCACTTTTATTTGAGAATTTAAACATTTAATTGGAGTTTCTAGAGAGTTAAGACATTCCTTATTACAACAATGAAAAAAAAAAAAAAAACGTTAAAAGGAGAAGTGAATAAGATTTTTTTCTTAAAGAACTTTTAATATCTAGATAAAAAATTTATTTGACATTGTCATCTACTTATTAGTCTATTTTCAGATGCTAAATACATGTCTGGAAGTATATGCCATTGATTGTAATTTGAAAACCGTATCATCGGGACAACGTAAAGTCCTTCAGTAAGAATCGGAATGTCTTCTTGGAGAGACATCGTTGTTGAAGATGGCTCGCAGTTCGAAGGTTGTGAGCCATCCCAACCTAAACACATTCTCAACAACATGAAGATCTATACAACAATGGTATGTTTAAACTTTCAAATCCACAACAACCTGAAGATCTATGCAAATGTAAGTTTAAACTTTCAAAGAAAAAATCTATTAGGTCCGTTTAACAGATATTTTAATTGAATCTTAACTAGATTCCTTCCTATTAGCTATTTGATTTGATTTGTTGGGAGATGTGGATTTTGTATGAAAACAAATACGAGAGTGAGAGATTTGAAATTGGCACATGGGTCAATCATGTTCAGTGCAAATGGATTGATTGCCCGCAAAATCACGGTTCATTTAAATTTTCTAATCTCACATGAGATAACATGTATATGCTTCACGTAGAAACTAGCCATCTAAATATATGCATGATGGCAAACAAATCCGACATTCCAAGTTTGATGAGTGTCTTTAAACAAAATTGGCAAATACCCACCTAAGCTCAAATTTAAGATAAATATTTTTGTCGGATTGACTGTCAATTTTGGAAGAAGAACTCCCGACATGAATCTGTATATACTTGGTAAATACTTTTCTTTAGATTAACAAAAACACAAAAGCGTAGATGATTGCCACCGATCATAAGATGTGCACTTGTAAGATCCGTGGAAGCATACCCTATTACAATATGTGATTTTCTTGGTCTCTAATAGACCCGAGATAATGGAACCACGCACACTTTCAGATGTAGCAGATGATATATAAAAATAACAATATAAGATTTTTTCATTAGCAAATGTGGTTCTAATATGCTATGCATGTGTCAACTAAGAAGAACCTTTTGCATCATCATTAATATTTTTCTAATTTGCGTTCAAACTATTGTCATTGTGCCAATTAAAAGAAAAGAAATCTTAATATTTCAAACACACTAAGAAAATGCATAATATGATGTTCTTATTAGTGGTACACAATTGCATTTGCTTGTCTCTGGATATTTCTGAAGTGTATTCAGAATTCATTTAAGTTCTCTAATCTCACATGAGATATCATTTATGTGAGATGACATGTATATCATATTCTTAGCATGAGAACTAGTCATCTCAATATATGCATGATAACATTCAAATCCTGAAAAAAAGTGAATTATGAAAATTTCAAATCACACACTAAAAAGACCATAAAATATACAAAATATTTTATTTAAGGTCGCGATGCCCAAAACGACCTTATCATCAACCAGTCTGTTCTTTCTTCTACTACAAATTTTACAAGATTTTCAAAAGCAAAATCCCAAAGCATTTATGAGACGAACCTTAAGATTTAATGAAAAGGATAAAAAAAAACTCAACAGAGAGCAAGAGACAAATTCGACAGACCAACGAAAACCTTTTCTTTCTTTTTTTTTGGTTTTAGAAAACTTTCTTGAAAACAAAACCAATCTTTTATTGTGTTTTAACTGACTCGGACTTCTCCCATGCTAGCATGCACTTGCTTCACTGTCTTATCATACTCATCTTCTTCTACTTCCTTAACCTCTTCCTCCTTGCCCTCGGCATCTTCTTCTCCTCCCCACCCAAATGCTCCAATCGATCGAGAAACAGGAGCTGGAGTTTTTGCCTCTTCCACAATCTTCATGATCTCTTCGACACTTTGGAGCGAGAATGTCGGGTTCTCTTTACTGAAGTATGCAGCTTGAGCTGTTTCTGTAAGTTCCCTTGGCAGGTTCTTTAGGAACCATGGATGTTTCTTGATCTCAGCTATCTTAATCCTCTGCAAGAAAAATGATAAGTTACACAAGTAATTATCTCACAAAGGATCGCCAAGCTTTTCGAGAGAGTGATACCTTATTCGAGTTGGCGACAAATATACGGGAGAGGAGATGTTTGCAATCTTGTGAGATATGGACATAGTCCGGGATCTTGTACTTGACAGCCATTATTCTCTGTAACAATGTGGCACAACGATTAGTGGGACATGTCATCTCTTATAGCAAAGAGTGCAAAAACAAAGAAACCTACTTGTATTGTTTTTTTGAAGTTTTTAGGATCCTCTTGGTCTTCAAATGGGTATGCTCCAACCAGCATAACATAAAGAGTCACACCACAAGACCATACATCAGCCATCTGAGTGAGAGAAAAAATATAAGTACCAAACGCTGATGATTTCTGTGAAGTTGATGTTTCCAAATCCAAACAATAAGATCATAACAATATCATAGAGCATATGGGTCAAGATAAAAAATGAAAAACAACACATCCTGGTCCTGGATAATTAAAAAGACAAAATTCTTTATCAACTACTTAACAAACGACTGCCCAAATCTATCACGGCCACAGCAGATATCTGCCAAGATGGGGCTTATCTCTGCCTTCTTGATGTATAAAAATATTATGCATGAGCAAAAGTTGAAAGAGCTACATTACTACGCAGGAAGAATTTTCAAACTATGATGTCTCTATCAAGATGCTAAGCACACTTGATATTCTAATACTTGCAAACTAATAAGATTACCTTGCCATCATACTCTCCGCGAGAAAGAACCTCAGGTGCAATATATGCTGGAGTTCCAACAGTTGATTTGGGCATAGAGTGCAACAGTGAGGACTACAAAATAAGAAAGATAGCTCACATGAAAGTGACAAGGGCCCTCACAAATGGAGGGAAAAAGAAGAAGGAGCTTGTTACGACAGGATATATTAAGAAATCACACTAGCACATTCAAGTGCATGCTGGCGATATATGGCAGACCTTGGAATAACCAAAATCACAGATTTTCAGGAGTGGAGCAGGACTTCCATCCAAGAGGGTATTTTCGAGCTTCAGATCTCTATGGCATATTTGCTGTGACAATAATGAAATAATGTGAGTACAGGACTGATACCGCAGAAATTCTGAATATCGGTGAAGTTAAAAAAGAAAACTTTGTAAGCCATCTCTATCCCTTACCATAGCATGGCAATAGCTGACTCCAGATATAAGCTGCTGGAAAAAGTACCTTGCCTGTAAGAAAAAAAACGATGTGCACAAGAATTTTGAATATCATAATCAAAGAAGCTGCTCCAAATGATTTACAACACATATTCTCTCAATTAATCTCAGACCACAATACAAGTCTGAAATTGATCATTTAGCTCACCTCATCCTCACTGAATCTTCCAGCACTACATATACGCTCAAATAACTCACCGCCAGCAGCAAATTCCATAGCAATGGCGATGTGTGTTGGTGTCAAAACCACCTGGAAATGCCAAAAGATAACTACTTCCGGTGAGACATTTCAACATAGATTTAAACATTGCCACCACAAAAGCTGCACGGACTTACCTCCTTAAACCGGATTATATTGGGATGACGAAGTGATCTATGATTAATAATCTCTCTTGCCACGTTCTCATCAATCTATTCACCAAAACAAAACCACAAAAAGAAAGTTTCAAAATTTACATAATCAATCTTTGAACACGAATCCCAGATAAACAAAGCAAAAACACTAACTAGCAATTACATACATGTACACGAAACTAAAATTGAGAGATAGAAGAACCTTAGGGCCACGCTCGATGTACTTCATAGCAACAAGTTCTTTGGAGTTTTTGACTCTCATGAGCCTAGCCACTCCAAAATTCCCAGCACCGATGTCTTTTACAAGCTCGTACTTGTCCATTTTCTTGCAAACAACACAAACCCAAGAAAAGAATTCCCCCAAAATCTCCAAGTGAAAATTGAAAACCCAGAAATTGAAGGGAAGCGATTTAGAGGTTTTTCGCGATTGTTAAAAAAGGGAACAAAGTGAAAATGGAATTGGAAGAGAGATTTTTGAAAGCAAAAGCGAAATTGTCGATATCCTTTTTTCTTATCCGTGAAGAAATTCTAAGAGAAGAAGATTACAATGATGATGATGATGCCGTAATAATCACCATCGTTCCTTGCTGGCTTCTTCTCACGAAGTCACGATGGCTCTTTCTTTTAATTTTTTTAATTAATAGTTTATTATTTAATATTTATTAAATATTTTTGTTAATTTAAGAGTTATTATATTAATAAATATGGGACCCACAAATTTCAATTTAATCGGTTCTTTAGTGACTGAGACGTCGCTATATGTGAAAAGGATATTTTAGTTCTCACAGAATTGCGTCTATACTTTCTTTTTTTTTTTGCAATTTGCCGATTATACGAGAACATCATTTGTTTATTGGATATGCTTATAACTCAAGATTGCTTTACTAATTCTCTAGTGTCTTTATAAGATTTGTAGATTATTTTGGATTTTTAGCTAATATTATCCAAAAATGAGATTATTTGGATTTTTTTACTTGAGAATATTTGGTTACCGAAAAATAAGATTATTTAAGATTAGATAAACTATTACTGCAACTGACGGTTAAAATTTAGAAAGCTATATAAGTTATAACGAATCTGAATATGACTTATCTTGTTGGATTATCTTGATGTGTTTTTGCTTTTTATGGAAAGATTCGGTTTGGAACGACAACTGAATTAACATGAAAAACGTAATTAAACATTGACTTGTTGGTTATTGGTAGAATGGTTGGTTTATACTTTCCGAATGTCGCTATGTGAAATCACATTTTGATTAGATTTGATAAAGTAATGGTAGGTGCTGCAAACTACATAAATTCTCCTAAATGTTGATTAAAAAAACAACAATTTTGCTAACGTTGAATGATGGCCCAACAAATAACGGATAGATGTCGAGAAAAAAAAAACATTTACGATTAAATTAAGGTAATGGACTTTCTGATTTTAAGGCCCAATGGATGAAGTAATGCCAATGTTTATCGACTGTGTTGGTTTCCCCAAGTAAGTGTTTATCGACTGTGTTGTAGGTTTCTTGTGTTCGTGGCACTATGGATTAGGTTTTGAAATGGTTTCTAATTCGTTGATTTGAGTGGCGTAAGTCTAGTTGTTGCTTGGGGCAATCTGTTTAATGTACAAACACTTACACCGTTAATAAATTATGCCACGGGTATGGTTTCGGTAACAATCATTGGCCATGGATGTTATGTAGTGTATGTTAGTTGGTATGATTATTTGATTTGCAACATGTAATAGAAAGGAATGGGGTTGGAATATGTTTGCAATTCCTTGTTAGATCTAGCTTTTGATGATGATATACATCTTCTATGTTATCTAGATATAGATATGATAGATATGTCCGTTTTTTTGAGGAGATCTCACCTAATTTTCTTTACCTAAATTAAATTTTCAGCCATTTCTTGTTAAATTTGGGCTAATCCTGGGCTTCCAACTAAAAACCAATTGGCAATTAGTGAATTGACCCTAACCCTTTATATATTATTGATTGTCTCATCAAACTTCCGATGTGGGACTTGGATTGTATCTCCAACAATCTCCCCTTCAATCCAAGGACCACATGGATCTAACACGCCTCATCGATCCCTCACTCGGATCGATAATAAGCCCCTTTCTCGGGCCCCATTACTCGGGTTGATGTATGTCCATATCCATTTTTTCTTAGGTCCACCAGACTTTAAACCTTGGGCTCTGATACCATGTTAAATTTGGGCTAATTCTGGGCTTCCAACTAAAAACTAATTGGCAATTAGTGAATTGGCCCTAACCCTTTATATATTATTGATTGTCTCATCAAACTTCCGATGTGGGACTTGGATTGTATCTCCGACATTTCTTTTATTAAAAATAAGAAAAATTCTAAATTTCTTTTTTCGAGAGATGATCATAAAAAAAATCTGTATTTAAGGCATTAAGAAAATATGCAGCTTCTTAACAATGAGAACGAAACAATATGGAAACCAACCAATAAAAAATAGACAAATAGAAGCGTGATATGAGTATGCAGAGCTAAATAGCATGATCTGAGTATGTTTTTAAGTTTTCTATGACTTTTCTTCTTTTCTACTTTAAGCCAAGAGGCTGGTCTTCACCAGAAAGTTGCTTTCACCCCATTCAAGCAAGTATGACCTCTTCTTCGCACAGATTATTCATGTACTACAAGGCTGCCATTAAAAGCATGATTGAATGTGGAGTTTATGTTTTGTGCAATGAATCTAAACCAATTTCAATATTCACTCGTCGATTCTATGTAAACTAAGTTCAATCTACGTATAGAGTAAATATTTCAGTAATTAGGTTTTCATTTCAACAAATTTGCTAACGTTGAATGATGGATAGTTCATAGTTGTGAGTTGTGACTTTAATTGTAACCCAACAAACATATTAGATGTTGAGAAAAAAAAAAAAAAATTACGATTAATTTTTGGTAATGGGGTTTTTGATTTTAAGGCCCAATAGATGAAGTAAGGCGTTTCTGATTTTAAGAAACGTAATTCTAGCAAGTGTTTATGGACTGTGTTGTATGTAGGTTTCTTGTGTTCGTTTTTTTTTTTTTTTTTTTTTTTTTTTTAAAACCATATCGGCTATTCGGTCGGCTCCGGTAGGAACGCACCGATGTGCTACATAGTGGACTGGTCCACCGTGTTAACGGTTAGGTCCTTACGGGCTACCGCTCTGTCTATCCCGAGTTTGGAATGCTTTCCGACTAAGTGTCAGGGGTAGTCAGGCCGCCTGCATTTCTGGCTACCAGGTAAACCAATTGGGCCAAGGCCCAACTGACAGACTTCCCAAACAAATGTGTTTTTGTTTCCAGAGAGAATCGAATTCAGGTTTGGGAATTTCACCCTTTCCCAAAGCGTCCTCTGCCACTAGACCACGGATGCTTGGGCGTTTCTTGTGTTCGTGGTACTATGGTTTACGTTTTAATATGGTTTCTAATTTCTTTGATTTGAGTGGCATAAGTCCCCTTGTTGCTTGGGCAATCTGTTTAATGTACAAACACTTACATCCTTACTACTAAATAATGTCATGGGTTTGGTTTCGGTAACAATAATGAGTCATTGGTACTGAATGTTATCTAGTGGATTATCCGGTATAATTATCTATTGGTTAATTTACAACATATAGTAGAGAGGAATAGGGCTCGAATATGCTCTTGCAATTCCCTGTTATATGTAGCTTTTGATGATACAAAAAACAGTGTTTTTTTTTTTTTTTTTTTTTTTTTAATATAATATTTATTTTTAAAAACCCTAATGGGCTGGGCCTTGGGCCTTACAAACTTGAAACCAGGTACAAAAAGGAAATCGGAAAAATGTCGCCGAAACTAAAAACGGAAGCTCGGATCTTGTTGGTTACCGGTGGCAGAGAGTCAGTCGCATTAGATCCGGTGGTTTCAAGGTCCACGGCTTTGAGGCAAAGAAGAAGGATTGAAAACCCCGTTGGAAGAAACCAGTTTCCGACGATGCACCTCACCGTCGACTCGCCACTCCCGCTACAAACCTCCCAAAAAACTCGACTCTCCAACACACCGGCTCTACGTCGACATATCCTGACCAAGCAATATGTCGCACTAGGACCAAACCCCTCCGTTCCAGATCCGAACACCTTCAAACCTCCAGAGCACAAAACTTTCAATCCGGTCCGGTGGATACGAAACCGCAGTGGATTCAAGGGTCGATGGCTCAGACGTACACCTAGACTCCGGAATCTGCGATAGCCCTCGAAGATCAGAGATCTGCAGCTAACCACCAGACGAAACAACGCTTCCCACCTAAACCCCTCCGAGTTCCGCCGTAGCCGCAGCGACCGTGAAGATGGCAGAGCCGCGAGAAGACTTCCAGGCAAACCTTCCAGCGTCCTCAACCGGAAAGCCACAGCTCCAGAGCTTCTCAACCATCCCAACCGGAGCCACAACTACCTCGAAAGGGGAAGAAACCACACCCCGTTGTCGGAGAAAGAGCTTGCTCACCCCTGATCCTCCTTTGCAAATCCGCCGCCGAAGATGAAGCTAAATAAAACGAAACCCTAGATCTAGAAAAACTTTACCAAGTGAGAGAGAAAGGTGTGCTTCCCAATGCAACGATTGTGCTTTAAAAAACAGTGTGTTATCTTGATATGATAGATAAACATGTTTCTTTAAGACATCTCACCTACTTTTTTTTTACCTAAAATAAAAATTTGAGCCACTTTTTTACTAAAAATAATAAAAATCTTTACACCTATCATATTCGCTGATTGTGTTTAAGTTTCCGACGAGTTTTCTTCTTTCCGTCGTTATGTCGAGAGGCTGGTCTTCAGTGAAAACTCCTTTCACGTTTTACCCCATTTAAGCAAGTATGACCTCTTCTCTGCACAAATTATTCATGTACTACAAGGCCATTAGAAGCATGACTGAAGGTGGAGTTTACGTATTTTGGTATACATTATATGTAAACTAGGTTCAATCTAAGTTATATAATGGAATAATTTACACTAATTAGGCTTTTATTTGAAAAAGTGATATAATTTTAGACAATTTAAAATATACTATAATTTCAAGAAATGATATTTGTGAAAATGGTTCGATTGGGTTTGGAACTTATACCCGGCCTAGATATGATGTTACAAGCAGTCCACAGTCCACACATTTTATGATTCATTTTAGTGGAACAAATGGAGAGTTCGTTTAGACGATACAAACAAGGTCCGAATAGTGTGTGAGCTGTCCCAAGTGAGACCACGTAATACTCACCTCAACAAGATACTGTTTTTAAAGTGTGTCAAACACAATGACACACACAAAAATCAAAAAGCACAAAGACGATAATCCAACAATCCACACAATAATCGCCACGTGGCAGATAGGATTCTCACTAGAAAATCTCACCTTTTAATCTTTCTCCACGCCATTTCCACAAGCCATCATAATCCTCAAAAATCTCAACTTTATCTCCCAAAACACAAAACAAAAAAAATGGCTTCCACTGCTCTCTCAAGCGCCATCGTCGGAACTTCATTCATCCGCCGTTCCCCAGCTCCCATCAGTCTCCGTTCCCTTCCATCAGCCAACACACAATCCCTCTTCGGTCTCAAATCAGGCACCGCTCGTGGAGGACGTGTC